TCTCGAGCGGAAGCCTCGTGTGTGAGTGAATTGCGGGGACGTATCAAGCGGGAACCCCTCTCCTTATGGGGCCCGCATCTCATATTTATAATCCGAGCGGGCCATCGGGATCCTGTAACTGTCGTCACTTTCGGGGTGCTGAAGCCTGAATATGGAAAAGTATCAAGCGGGAGCCTCGTCTGGGAGTGAATCGCGAGGAAGCATCAAGCGGGAACCGTCTCCATATGGGGCCCGCACCTCATCTTTTTAACCCGAACGGGTCATCGGAACCCTGTACCTGTCGTCACTTTTGGGGTGCTGAGGTATAAATGTGGACGAAATATCAGGCGGGAGCCTCGTCTGTGAGTGAAACGCGAGGAAATCTCAGGGGAGACCCTCTTCCGTATGGGGCCCGCACCTTATGTTACTAATCCGAGCGGGTCGTCCCAACCGAGGAACTGTTGTCACTCTTGGGCTCCTGAGGGGGTGGATATGGAGGAAATATCATGCGGGCGCCTCGTCTGTGAGTGAATTGCGAGGAAGTCTCAGGAGGGAAGTCCCTCCTTATGGGGCTCGCACTTTATGTTCGAATCCGAGGCGGGCAATCGGCAACTCGTAACTGTCGTCATTTTCGGGCTCTTCTGGCTTGGGTATTAGTCTCAGTCGGGATCCTCGTCTGTGAATGAATGTCGAAGAAGTCGCAGGCGGGTATCCCCTCCCGATGGAGCCCGAAACTCACGTTGGCAATCTGAGCGGATCATCGGCAACCTGCAAATGTTGTCATTGTTGCTCTGGTCCACCTGGGAGAAGACGTTGGCGTCGGACAGCCGCGGCGACCTCGACCCTCGGCACCAGCACGAGAACTTTCGGCTCGGCTACGACATGGGCATCTACTAGGAGGAACTGGCGAGGTGGATCAACGAGCGCGCTCGTCGCGACGCGGGGCGCCTGGGCGTGCCCCTCGTTGTCTTGCAGGCCGTTGACGAGTGCAGCACGATTCAAGGCGATCCCGACGCGGGCCGGCGACTCCTGAACGTCCCGAACATGCACAAGACGGGGGACATCCGCGGCGTCTTGCCCGCCCATTTCGGCATGGAGGTGCGATTCACGGCACTGCAGGAAGAGCTGAAGAAGAACTTGGGGCTCCTGCAGGAGCAACGGGCCACCATCGCGTCCTTCGGGTTCCACCGCGAGGACGAGCAGCGGCACGAGGAGTGCTCGGCAGGCCAGCTCATTCGCCCCCGGTTCCTACCGCAGGGAATCTGGCTGCAGGCGCACGGCTTCAAGGAGTGTCCGATCTACCAGGAGGTCGCCGAAGTGCTGCGACAGGGCGCCGAAGACGCCGACGACGACAGCCAGGCCGAGGCGCGGGCTCGGAGCTTGCAGATGTTCAGGCCCAGCGAGCAGGAGTTCACCTGGCAGAGCTCGGGGCCGCACACTGTGCGCCGCTCGGGGTTCACCTTGAGTCACGCGTCCTACCGCACTTCCACGCTGTCGCAGAGCCAGACGCTGCGCAAGGGCGTCACCATCGACTGCGCGAAGGACGAGGACGCTGGCCGCACGGGCATGTCGGACGACCAGTGGTGGCTGCACCTCTACGTCATGCCCTCCCGCGCCACGCGCATGTGGAACATGCTGATCCTGCGGCCGCCTTCGCGCGAGTTTCTGGAGCGCGGGCCGCCAGCGTCATTGCGGGAGGTCAAGGAGTTCGATGAAAAATGAGGCCGAGCAGCTCGCCGCGGAGATTGGCTTCGTGCTGCCTCCCGCCTGAGCGCCGCGGCGCGCAGCTTGAGGCCCGCGGGGTATCCCAACGGTCTGGCCCGCGGGGTTCTCACGACGGCCTGCCCTCGCGCCCCAGCGGCCCGCGGGGTTGTCCCAAAGGCATGACCCGCGGGGATGTCCCAGAGGGGCTTCGCGATCTAGCCGTCGGCGAACTCGCGCGCGTTGGCCTAGGCGGCGACGGCGCCGAGGAAAATCGACTTGCTTGCCTCGACCAAGGAGAAAGGAGGTGCACATAGAGAAGCGGCAGGAGGATGAGGAGGGGGCAAGGGTAGAGAGAGGGCGATGATGAGGAGGAGGTGGAGGAGGAGGAGGAGAATGATATATATATATATATATATATATATATATATAAGAAGGAGGAGGAAAAGGAGAGAGCGGAGCTCAGGGCGAGAGGAGGATGTCCGCCACGGCGACGGGTGAAGGGCTAAGGGTAAGCTAAACAGATTATCATGTGGGGTCTTACCGTCGGAGTGGCTCTCGCTGTAGCGCCGCGCACATTCGTTCAAACTTAGCCTGGCGAAGGACCCAACCATATGCAGTCGTGCGTACCGCAATTTTTAATATCGTCTTCGGTGGCGCTCCCTATGGGGCCACGAACTCTGTGAGGGATGTGCCGGATTGGGTGCGACGGACACATGTGGACGGTGGCATTGGGGCCTTCGGTGGAGCTCCCCGTGGGGCCACGAAACGTGTGAGGGGTATGCCGACATGGGTTGTGGAGGACGCAAATGGAAGTTGGCCCTGGGGCCTTCGGTGGAGATCCCAATGGGGCAACGAAACGTGTGGGGTGTGGGGGACGCATGTGGACGCATGTGGACGGTGGCGCTGGGGGACGCATGTGGACGGTGGCGCATGTGGACGCCCAAAATGGGCGTGGGGGACGCATGCGGACGGTGGCGCTGGGGCCTTCGATGGAGATCCCTATGGGGCCACGAAGCGTGTGAGGGGTATGCCGAAATGGATGTGGGGGACGCATATGGACGGTGGCACTGGGGCCTTCGGTGGAGCTTCCTATGGGGCCACGAAACGTGTGAGGGGTGTGCCGAAGTGGGTGCGGTGGACGCAAGTGGACGGTGGCACTGGGGCCTTTGGTGGAGCACCCTGTGGGGCCACGAAACGTGTGAGGGGTGTGCCGAAATTGGTGTGGGGACCGCATACGGGCACCGCCGCTAGGGCCTTCGGTGGAGCTCCCTATGGGGCCACGAAACGTATGAGAAGTGTGCCAAAATGGGTGTGGGGACCGCATACGGACACCCCCACTAGGGCTTTCGGTGGAGCTCCTGGGGCCACGAAACATGTGAGAGGTGTGCCGAAATGGGTGTGGGGACCACATGCGGGTACCCCCACTAGGGCCTTCGGTGGAGCTCCCTATGGGGCCGCGAAACGTGTGAGGGGTGCGCCAAAATTGGTGTGGGGACCACATGCGGGTACCCCCGCTAGGGCCTTCGGTGAGGAGCTCCTTATGAGACCACGTTAAGACGCCACGCAACTTGTGCGGGTGTGTCGAAATTGGTGTGGGGACTGCATGCGGGCACCCCCACTAGGGTCTTCGGTGGAGCTCCCGATGGGGCCGCGAAACGTGTGAGGGGTGTGC